TTGCTCCCATCTCTCCCTCTTCTTTGACACCCACAATTTCATCAAGAATTCTTTGCGGTGGATCTTGAGGGCTAGAAACTTGGGTTTCCCCCTCAAATGAAACCTGATCTCACAGCATTGGGCCCTAGACCCCCTAAGTGCTTAAAGAGGTGGTCTAGGCACAGGATAACGTTTTCCAACTATCAAGTACCCCATCCTTGAATTGTAGTTTCTTATGTCCTCTTATCTCACTCACTGCAAGAAGGCCGCCTGAGGATTTTCACACGCATTTCCCTCTTAAAGAGCCATCACAGCCAGGATCGGGTGCGACGGGCAAGGTTTGCTGCGCCACCGATCCTGCTTGCCTTCGCATGTCTACCAGGGGCTGGCTTCCTGTGCATCCAAACGCTGTTCCTCTGTGAAGCGTCGCTACCCCCTCCATGCACCGCACTGGCAAGGTCTCCTCTCTCTCTCTCTGTCTCTCTCTCTCTCTCACACACACACAAAGGCTCGCATGAGAGGCGCACAGAGCGCCTTTTGTTTATGCTCATATGTTGCGCATTAGCCGGACACGTGAACCTCCATCGAGACTTTACTTTGGGCTCCGGGAGCTTATTACACTTCCCAGCTTGGCCGGCGTCCAACACGTTGCGCTTATTAGCCCCGAATCCCAGAGGATTTGGGGCCTCGAGCCGGCCGCTTAATAGCATGTCATTTTCCCAGCTTGGGTCATTCATGCTTGCAGTTCTTTTGTCCTCCAGCCCCGAGGGAGAGGGCTGCCCCCCCCCAGACAACTCATCTGCTCATTTCCCCCTGGCCGGGCGGGCGGCTGGCCGGCCGCATCAGACGCTCTTCCCATCCCTTCTTCCCAGCGTCAGGAATGACCTGTTAGGGACCAAGGAGGACCTTTGACCTGCATGGCTCAGGACGATGGTTGGTGGAGCCAGGAGCCAGAGGGCTGCCCCACGGAGCTGGCAGCTCAGGAGCACTGGGGCTGCGCCCTCCGAACTACCCTGAAGTGTGCCAAGCCAGGCAAGTATCTTCCCACGGATAGGTGACGCTTTGCCATGCCGTCAGCTGCCCATCGCCCTGGTGACGTGTTTTGCACGTTCATCTCCTTTACGGTGTTGGCGTCATGAGGTGGTGAGAGGTTTCACGCTGTTAGGCTCTCTCCGGAGGCAGGACGGCGAGCGTCAGGGCTCGCTGGCATCGCCCTTTCTGGGCTCGGCATTTTTTCCTGGTCTCCCCGGAAAGAGAGGCGGTGTTCACACCGCCCTGACCTGCCCCTGACATGCTTTATCCCTTCTTAACCGCTACCTGTCTGCCTCTTTGCACCTGAGCGGCAAACGTCCTCTCCTGTTGGCAGAGAGCAGGACGGAGCCATGAGGAGGAGGCCCTCCGGGACTTGAAAAGGGGGGCAGCCGGGCCGGCGGCGGTGCCGGAGAGCCTGCAGGGAAGGTCCGGAGTCTGTTCAGGGGTTCCCACCAGCAAACCCCAGGTTCCTCTTTTCCATGTGAGTGTCCTCCTCCTTTTTCAAAACAGGCCGGAGACCTTGGAGGTCTTGCTGTCTTTGGGACTCCCAGTAAGGGTGGCCATCAGGATGGGGCAACGGAGGGTCTTGTGGGAGCGTGAAGCGGTGAGGAGGATGGGGGTTGTGGAAGGCCTAGCGGGGGGCAGTCGGTTGGACGGCTTGCTGTTTCCGTGCGCTGCTGCGGTGACTGGACTGTGGCCTCATTGCTTCGTCTCCCACTGAAATGGGATCGCCTTCTGTGTGGCACGAAGGACCGGGTTCCTAAAGGCAGCATCTTGCCCTTGCATGCCGCGGCCTCTCCTCTCTCTCTCTCTCTCTCTCTCTCTCTCTCTCTCTCTCTCTCTCTGGTTCCCCTTGACACCCGTTACCTACTTCAGCTCTGCTGTCGTTGTTTGATTCAGGGACCCTTTGGTTTAAGTTTGATCCGAAAGGGCTGCTTTCAGCCTGATGGAGGGAGAGAGGGGAAAGCCCAGCCAAGAAGAGGTGTTGACTTATTGGGAATTGAGGTGGTTTTTTTTGGGGGGGGGGCTTTTCTCAGCGGACAGTGTCAGCCGGCTTGGATCCTAGGGGAGTCCTGCATGATTGCCAAGAATGAATTTCCTCCTAGCTTCTTGAAGAACCTTCCTGGGGTTGGTGGGTCTCTTTCCCACCCGGAGTTTGGCCTCCAGTTGCAACGTTTCAAGCAGAGACACTGCTTTCTGATTCTCTGCCTTGCTTTCTGGGGGGGGCTTTTCTCAGCGGACAGTGTCAGCCGGCTTGGATCCTAGGGGAGTCCTGCATGATTGCCAAGAATGAATTTCCTCCTAGCTTCTTGAAGAACCTTCCTGGGGTTGGTGGGTCTCTTTCCCACCCGGAGTTTGGCCTCCAGTTGCAACGTTTCAAGCAGAGACACTGCTTTCTGATTCTCTGCCTTGCTTTCTGAGAAGGAGGGCTGCTTTCAGCCTGATGGAGGGAGAGAGTGGAAAGCCCAGCCAAGTAGAGGTGTTGACTTATTGGGAATTGAGGCGTTTTTTTTGGGGGGGGGGGCTTTTCTCAGCGGAGAGTGTCAGCCGGCTTGGATCCTAGGGGAGTCCTGCATGATTGCCAAGAATGAATTTCCTTCTAGTTTCTTGAAGAGCCTTCCTGGGGCTGGTGGGTCTCTTTCCCACCCGGAGTTTGGCCTCCGGTTGCATTGTTTCAAGCAGAGACACTGCTTTCTGATTCTCTGCCTTGCTTTCTGAGAAGGAGAAGATGAATCCTGCCCCCCCCGCCCCCGTGTTGAGGGTGCAGTTAGATGCGATACATGGAAAATTTCACAGCCTCGGTAGAGGTGGGCCAGACAAGGGAGGCGGGCACCCGGGGAGGAAAGCATAGCTCTTGACCTCAGCTTCCTCGGGCCCGGCCATCCTCTTTTTATCAGGATGGCCTTCTTGCAGGGCAGTGGCATCTCGGGCGAGAAACGACAAGTCACCCGTTTGAACGCTCGCCTGCAAAACCAGCCTCTTCGAGAGAGAGAGAGACGAGGGTTTATCAACCATGCCCCCAACACTCACGACTTCCCCGGCAGAGAGTTCTGCGTTCCTTGCTTAAATTCTTCGCCCCTCCTTCCTGAAACAGGAATGGTCTTAGGAACAATGTGGACTAGTACATTGGGTGTAATTTTGTGAAAGGGACCTCAGACGTGGTCCAGGGAGGGTGAGATCGGCTTGAGCTTTCTGGTGAGATTTCGTCTCCGGAAGGAACCACGCTTCATTTTTCGTTATTTGTGAATTCAGAGTGGATTTCCCATTCCTCCTCATTAATCATCTCCTGTTAGACAGTGATGCAGGGAGCATGTGTTGCACCACGAGGAATCAATCACATTAGAAGCTTCTGTGAGCAGGAAAGCGCACACACACACACACACCCGCAAGTGGAATCGGCTTCTCTCTGTGTTACTGTTCATCTGTGTCCATGTTTCATTTGAGGGCGAGCCCTATTAGCCCCGACAGAGTAAAACAACATAATCGAGCAGCGTTACTTTCCGAGAAGGGTCCCTGTTGCACCTCTGCATGAAACTGATCTTGACACTTTTGAAGCAGACAGTGCTTGCTGCTCCGTGACTCAGGTGGGGCAGGAGTGGGATTCTTTGAGCAAAGATGGTTAGCCTCAGGAAGAAAGAAAATGTAAGGCTGATGTAGCCTTAGAGTTTTAACTTAGATTTTATACCGCCCCTTAGCTTTCAGACATTCGGGGCGCCCTCTCCCCAGAGTTAACATCAACTCACTTCCAATTTGCTGTGTCTGGGTTTTTTTTTCCCACCCTCTCTGTGTGATGAGTAGTTGGCGTGTGTGAGCCAAAAAGGTTTGGGCCAGATCAGTCACGTGGTTTTCATGGACGGTGCAACCGCTTTCAGCTCCCCACCGTTCCGTTGTGTTTTGTGACAAGGGCTGGCGGCTTGCCACCAGGCCAGGAGGGAACACCGGGGGCTTTCCTCGTAATCCCCTAAGCTGAAAGCCCTGCATTATATTATTTCTCTGTGCGCCAAGTGTTTTGTAATTAACATTCAGTCCCCCCCCCGGTCCCCACTCCCGACAACACTTGCTTCTAAAGTGCTCCGGTCTTGGGAGGGGTTGTGAACAATGTGGACCAGTGACTTAAGATTAAGTTGAGGGAACGGAAAGAATTTGGAAAAAAAAAAAAAGGAAGTCATACAGCGTGTGGCGAGCAGGACGAGGATTAACCAGAAAGGTCAATCCGGCGACTCTAAGGAGGTCTTTTTCTGGAATGACCAAAAACTCAATCCAGTTTTATTTTATCATCACATTTATTATGAAGCGCTCTTGCAGCAGGAGAAGCAGAGAGGAGGCAGCCAAAACAGCTGTCTGCTCATCCCATGTGGCTGACATTCCCAGTAAGATTGTAAATCCTGTTTCACTTGTTTCCAGGTGTGAGAACAAGATGTGGTAATATATATATATGTATTCTCTTTCCCAGTGGGACAGCAAGGTATTTGCTCCCTGCCTTGACGAGGGAGTGGCTTTCATGCCAATGCGTCCAGTGAAGAGGGTGGGTGCTTTGTCAGCTGGATTTGTAACCCATAGAAGCACGCGATGGGTTGCTTGTGTCTTCTGCTCCGACAGCCTTGCCGTTTGCCCTAATTTCTTCTGTGTGTGTGTGTGTGTGTGTGTGTTTGGCTTCACAAAGGGAGAAAGGCACTAAGGTTGAGCCTTGGCTCGTTGTGAAGCTTTTTCTGGACTTGCCCAAAGAAAAAGAAGGAAAAAAGTCTTCTTTCCTTTATGCTCACTTTGACCACTAGGTCTCTCAGAGATTCCTCAAGAAGTTCTCTTGACATGCCCAGACAACCTGTCCTGTTGAGAACGGGGCCGGCAAGGCTGCTCCAAGTGTGTCCATCCGTGAGGAGGGTGTTCTGGAACATGGGTTGTGTGTGTGTGTGTGTTTTTTCTGATGACTTTCCTCTCCACTCTGACACCCCCACCCCCCTCCCTGCATGACCCATTTTTGACCGCAGGCACCAAATCCTTCAACATGATGTCCCCGACCGGAGACAACGCAGAGCTGCTGGCTGAGATCAAGGCTGGGAAGAGCCTCAAGCCGACCCCACAGAGCAAGGGCTTCACCACCGTCTTCTCCGGCTGCGGCCAGGCCGGCGCCAACGTAAGTCCTGGGATCCTGACGGGACTGCCAGCCAAACGAGACATACTTCGTTTAAAAAAAACCCAGTGGCAAGGTCGGGTGGGGGAAGGTTGGGGAGCAATGGGAAGGGAGCCAGGGATTAACTTCTGATCATGATGAGCCTTGCCATACATGAGTGGGACGTGGGGCAGATGGGAAGCCCCTCGGGGCAGCCTTGATCAGCTTGGTGGTCCTTTCAGCATCGTGGTGGGGATGGGGAGCGGACAGAGCCTTTTTCATGAGTAGCATCCTGACCGTGTTGTTGGTGCAAAAGCCAAGGTTCTTGGTTTCACTTGTATAGACACCCCCCCAAAATGTTTGACTGCCCAGAGGAGGGCAACAAAGATGACTGAGGGGATGGGAACCAAGCCCTAGGAGGAAAGACTGGAAGAACTGGATAGTTAGGGGCTTAGGTCTGGCTCCAGAGCCAGAAGTTTGGGAGTTCAATTCCCCCACTGGTTGTTGGTGCAAAAGCCAAGGTTCTTGGTTTCACTTGTATAGACACCCCCCCAAAATGTTTGACTGCCCAGAGGAGGGCAACAAAGATGACTGAGGGGATGGGAACCAAGCCCTAGGAGGAAAGACTGGAAGAACTGGATAGTTAGGGGCTTAGGTCTGGCTCCAGAGCCAGAGGTTTGGGAGTTCAATTCCCCCAGTGGTCTTCCTTGAGAAGGGGCTGGACTGGATGACCCACAAGGGCCCCTTCCAGCTCTACTCTTGGAAGGTTTTAAGTGGGCATGCTGTGCCTCGAGAAAAGGAAGCGAAGGAGAAATAGCACAGGACTTTTCAACTGTTCAAAGAATGGGCTCGAGCGACAAGGAGCCAGATTTAAGCTGAAAGGGAAAAAAACTTCTTAACTGTTAGAGCAGTACAACAATGGAACCAATGGAGGTGGTGAGCACGCCAGTGCTGAAGGCATTGAAGAGAAATTTGGACAACCCTCTGTCAGTTCTGCTTTGACCTGAATTCCTGCCTTGAGAAGGAAATCGAACAACCCTCTGTCAGATCTGCTTTGACCTGAATTCCTGCCTTGAGCAGGAAATCGGTCTCGATGGCCTTAGAGACCCCTTCCAACTCCATGATACTTTGATTCGAAACAGTGGCTTTGTTAGACTACGATTCCCTGGTGGAGAATTATGGGACGTGTACCCACCCCAACTCCATTTTTTCCCCAAACCTCATTTGCCCACAGGCCAAAAGCTGTGCTGGGGCTCCCATCCTTTCCCCCATCTTGTATTTTTGATCTGTTTTGGTCCGCAATCTGTCTGTTTAGCTGTTGTTTCAATTGTTGATTTTATGATGCACTTATTTTTTTTATCATGGCTTTCATGATAGCACTGGGAGCACTTTGAATGGAAAGAGTTTGGAAGTAAATGTTTTAGGAAATGGATTTATTTCCACAAACAGAACGGTTTTGTGCATTTCTTGTGGGTCTCAAGATGTGCAGGAAAACTGAGGCATCTCCCCATAGTAGTCAGCAAGACAAGGAAATCATTTCCTGCTAGGTTGGGTTGTCGCCCTATGGTGGTAACCCTGTCTGTTTCGCTTCGTGACCAAAATGGGTATGTATCAAGTTGAGTCAACACTGGATTTTCAGCAGAGAATCTGTTTTATTGAATCCTAGGTATGCAAAATGGATCTTGTTTGATGTATGTCCCATTTCTTTTCCTTATTGGGGGGGGACTCCAAACCACATATCCCCCCCCCACCGAATAGCAAAACTTCAGCAAGGTGCTTTCCAATGGGTTAAAAATCAGAGCCTGCAGGCAGCGCAGTAAAAGTACAGTGGTGCCTTGCATAGCGAGGTTAATCCGTTCCGGATTAACCCTCACTATGTGAAAACATCGCTAAACAGAACATAAAAACCCATTGGAACGCATTAAACATTGTTTAATGTATTCCAATGGGCCCTAAACTTACAGTTCAGCGAAGATTCCTCCATAGCGGCAGCCATTTTCCCGCCCTTGGTAAGCGAGCGGAGGGCGCGAAAATGCTGCGCGTGGCCATTTCAGGCATCCGGTGGCCATTTTAGAACCGCCAAACTGCTGATCTGCAGGAATAAAAACCCATTGGAACGCATTAAACATTGTTTAATGTATTCCAATGGGCCCTAAACTTACAGTTCAGCGAAGATTCCTCCATAGCGGCAGCCATTTTCCCGCCCTTGGTAAGCGAGCGGAGGGCGCGAAAATGCTGCGCGTGGCCATTTCAGGCATCCGGTGGCCATTTTAGAACCGCCAAACTGCTGATCTGCAGGAATCGCAAAGTGAGGATCGGTAAGCGAAACGCTTACCTATCGTCACTATGTGAGTTTTTGCCATAGGGACCGATGCTATGCCTCCGCATTAGCGAAATAGCAAAACTTCAGCAAGGTGCTTTCCAGTGGGTTAACAATCAGAGCCTACAGGCAACGCAGTAAAAGTATACGGGTTGGCCAGAATTAGTTCCTTTCCCTACATAAGATGTGGTTAGTGGGGGGGGGGATAGTGGTTTTAGAACCGCCAAACTGCTGATCTGCAGGAATCGCAAAGTGAGGATCGGTAAGCGAAACGCTTACCTATCGTCACTATGTGAGTTTTTGCCATAGGGACCGATGCTATGCCTCCGCATTAGCGATCCCGAAAAGGGGATCGCTATGCAGATTCATCGTTGTACAGTGCGCTCGTTAAGCGAGGCACCACTGTATACGGGTTGGCCAGAATTGGTTCCTTTTCCTGCATAAGATGCAGTTAGTGGTGGTGGGGGGGTAGTGGCGTTTTAAAGAGTAAAAGAGTAACTGCACTCCTGCTCTCTCTCTCTCTCCTTGCTATCATGAGGAATATCAAGTGTTTGATCCTTGTTATTTTTTAGCTTGATGTTGGCTCGTTAAGCGAGGCACCACTGTATACGGGTTGGCCAGAATTGGTTCCTTTTCCTGCATAAGATGCAGTTAGTGGTGGTGGGGGGGTAGTGGCGTTTTAAAGAGTAAAAGAGTAACTGCACTCCTGCTCTCTCTCTCTCTCCTTGCTATCATGAGGAATATCAAGTGTTTGATCCTTGTTATTTTTTAGCTTGATGTTGGAGGTTGCTGGGGTGGGAGCCTCCGGTTTTATGGCAGATGGCCCTAGGTTTAGCCCAGAGTTGAAGAGAGCTCTCCGAGGTGCTGAAATCCATTCTGGGGGGAGGTTTCAGCACCACGGAGACCTCCTAAAAGTTTTTAAACTGAAATCTGGAGTGAAGGTCACCTTCTCTTCCACCCTCCATGAAACTGGAGCCACAGGACTCTCCTACAGGCGCGCAGGGGGGTTTGCTTCTGATTGGGTGCCCCCAGTTGTTACCGGATAAACTTGTGCAGCTCTGAAGAGCCCGGGGTGTCCTCGGATGCTTTTGACCCTGAAACCCACCTTGTTTGGTTCACGGAGCGATGCTCTGGACGTGGCAGGAAGTAGGACGGGAAGTTGCCCCTACTTCAAAGGGAGGCATGGATTTTGGCAGCCAGAGGTAGCTGGAGAGCAGCTCAGAACCCTTGCTTCGACTCTAGAAACGGGACAGGATCACCCCCCCCCACCAGCAGGGGCAAATCTACTCTGAAATTTAAGAATTTAAGCTTCAGGACCCCCAAATCCTAGAGAGAGCTCCAGAAGTGACTTAAGTCCACATTGCATGAAAACCTTAGACCTACTGTATGGGAAAGGTCTTTAAATCATCATCATCATCATCATCAGTATTATAAGCAGTTGCAAAATTCAGAAATAACCCCATCAGAGCTACAAAAAATGGCAATATTGGGAACAGCATACTTCGGTTTTTGGTCAAAACTTGTACTACAAAAAACGGCAATATTGGGAACAGCACCGATATTTAACAGATAACTTTGGTTTTTGGTCAAAACATGTTTCTATGATGTAAGACCAGTCAAGGTGGTTATAATTTTGATTGACTGTGCCTGGTGTTTTGGAATCCTATCATATAATTCAATACAAAATAATAGTTAAAATGATAAAAGGCGAAATGACCCAGCGCAGCCCTTTCAGTCAACATCTGAGATGTAGTGGTTAAATTTTGAAAGCATTTCTGGTGATCCGTTGTGGAACAACCCCATTGCGGGTTGTGAAGGCCGCCCCCCCCAAGAACCTTTCAAACTTCCATGCCCCCAAAATGAAGGGTCAACCATTGCCCCATAAGTAATGCAACAGGCAAATCCGTCTCCAGACTTTGGGCTGCCTGAGGCCAAAGGCTAGGGGTGTGATCAGAAGCTGGCCGGAGTGGTGCTGAACCTCTTTTTGGTTTGGGCAACTCAGCAGCCCTCGCCATCCTTGCCTTGATTCCAGAGGGCTCAACGCAGAGGCTCAAGGCAGACTGTACACCACAGCCCTCTTTCCCACAGAGCAAGGGTCCCCCAACCTTGGCACCAAGGATGTTCTAGGACTACAGCTCCCAGGAATCCTGGCCAGCCCAGCGAGCACTGAAGGCTTCTGGGAGTTTTCGTCTCCAAAGCCTTCTTTGCCACCTTCGGGCATCTGCCCCTTGACGCTACTTGGCTCAATGGCCAATCGCTTTCCAAACAGAGGCCATGAACTTTCCGTTTTTTGAACAAAATGAAAGAAATTGTGTGTCTTCTATTTTAAAAAGGTTGCATCCTGCAGCTGAATTTTAAACCGTGGAAATGACCAGAGAAGGGGGCAGAGGATTTTTTCCATCTTCTAGAAACACTCAGATTCTGCTTCTTTCTTCCCCCCCCCCAGGTGGAGACTCCGGCATCCTCCCCTTCCCCAACCAGGAGCCCAACTCCTCCTTCTACCCCCGAAGCAGCTTCTGCCCCCCGGCCTGCCACCTCGCCTGAACCGGTCGTGAACGGCTCCTTGCCGCCCCTCGCCTCCTCAGCCCCAGCCGGCCAAGTGGACCTCGAGGGCCTGATCCCCACCCACGATGAGCAAGGCAGGCCCATCCCGGAGTGGAAGCGCCAGGTGATGGTCCGGAAGCTCCAGATGAAGATCCAGGAGGAGGAGGAGCAGAGACGCAAGGTAGCGCGGGTTGGGGGGCGGTGCATGCATGGGGGGGGCACTGTGGCTCGAAGCATGGCCTGTGTGGTGTGGTGGAGATTGCAGTGATGCCCTCTTGAGGCGCTTTCTCTGGAGAACTGGGGAGGAAGCCCTGGTGGCCTGCAGATGTGGCTAGGCTGATTCTGGTAGCTAGTGGCGAGCAGTGACACAGAGGTTGCCTCAGTAACATCTGGAGAGCCATAAGCACCTTGGCTGCTGAGTCTGAGGAAAAGGTCCACTCTTGCCTGTGGTCTGAATCTAGAGTGTTGTCATTTCGCCTAAATTTCTGAGGGATAGTCTGGCGAGATGCTGTGGTCTGAATCTAGAGTGTTGTCATTTCACCTAAATTTCTGAGGGATAGTCCGGCGAGATGCTCTGGAAGGCAATAAGGAGGATCGGGGGCTGGAAACCAGGCCCTAGGAGGAAAGACGGAAAGAACTGCTGGATCGCTCAGTGGCTTCATCCCTGGGAGATCGATGCCCCACTGGGCCTCCTTGAGAGGGGCTGGACCTGAGGATCCGGAGTATTTGTGGCTCATTGATCAGCAGCTAGGCGGAGGAGCTGCTAGACTGTTGGGACACGTCAGTCCATTTTATCCCCTCCAGCTTATAGCAGGAAACGATCAAATCCTAGAATGGTTGCGTTGGAAGTGATCCCACGAGGTGATCTAGCCGGTCCAGGAATGCCCCTCGCCTCGCTCGTCGGTTCCTTGGTTCGGTTTCTTTCTCTCCCACCTTTCTCCTTCAGAAGGGGAAGCCGGTGGAGTTCAGAAACACAAAGCACAAAGCAGAGGCCCCCCTCATCTCCAAGGCCATGTGCCCTGCTGTCAGACAAAGCTTGCCCTCCAGGAATTCTTCCCCATGTTGAGTTGGAATTTCCGTTCTTGGGACGGGAACCAAGGACTTCGCCACCAGTCCTTTTGCTTTAGATCCTTCTTGATCCAGAAAGACCCTGGGGTTGTCCATGCAAAGCGGAAGGCAGAGGGTGCCACGGAGATGCCAGGCCACTGTGGGAAACAGTCAACTCTTTCATTGGATGGGTTTGGTGGGACCGACTGGTTTCGTTGTGCTTGGTTCGGAAGCTCCTTTACGGGCAAATCCTTATGTCATGGGAATCACCTCTATCATCAACAAGAGATTCAGATTAGATGGAGGTTGGCTTCTCTGTACAACAAACCAGGATAAAATCGAAACAAAAGGGGCTTTTAACAACCTCATGCGACATCCAGCTACATCCTGTCGGGTTGCTTCCAATACACGACACCTCTTAAAACATTTTGAGTGATGTGAGATGGTCCGAGCATGTTTTTCCTTTGGCACCTTTCCCAATGAGCCTCCAGGGCTGAGTGGGGATTTGAACTCAGGCCTCCTGAGTCTGACGCACGCCCGCTCACCGCATGACAGTGACTGGTAGGACCGTGTATGCTCAAAGCAGCCTTGAAAGGGCCCTGGATGGTCCCTCGAGAGCTCAGAAGGCAGGGTTAGAGGACCAACGGGTGGCCCATCATATACAGCTTCTTCCTTCCCAGCCTGCGTGAGATTCTTCTCTGAGATCGGGGTGGGCAGAGTGACCTGCATGCTTCTGCTGTGGCTTTGGCATGCCTCTTTTCGCTCTTTGCTTTGGTGTGGCCGGCTCTGAAATGCGTTTAACCTGCAGTATTTGCTGGGGGGGCAGCAGCCGGGGCCAAGGGGGTCTCCGGGGCAGACGGCACCTAGGCAGGGCCCCTGATGGGCCAGGCTTCGGCTTCTCCTACAGTGCTTCCAATTGGAACAGTCCTCTGATTGGGGGGGGGGGGAGAGAAAAAGGCAAGTGAGCCCACCCCAAGACCAGATACTGCAGGGTTAAATGCCTTACATGCTCACTCCGTGGTGTAATGTGCGAACGCTCCCGGTGGCCTTTGCCGTCGCATCAATAAGGCCGTTGTCTTCCTGGTGCGGTTCCCCCACGGGCCCACCGCGGGAGGAGAAAACCGTAAGTCTTCCTCTTTCTCTCTGCTCATTTCCGACGACTTCCTCCCGGCCACTCCGCTCAAGCCCTCACCCCCACCTACGTTCCTCCCGGCGCAACGCCCTCGGCTGGCCTCCTCTGTTCCTCATTACACGGCGAGGGCCCTGTAAGGCACCGCGTAGGCGAGAGACGGACGCCGTCCAGGCCTCTCCTGAGGGCGACCTTTTGCCCCCCCTCCTCCTGTGCTTTCTCGTCCTGCCGTAGCTTCGTTCTGGGGGTGGCTACGCCCAGGAAGGCTGGCGCTACTCCCACGCCCACCATGCCCTCCTGGGGCCCTTCGGGGAGCTCATGACGGAAGACGACATCCTCCACCTGGAGAAGCAGATCCAGAACCTCCAAGTCATGCACAAGGTCCAGAAGGTGGAGCGCGAGCTGGCGCAGATGGAGCGGGAGCTGCAGCAGCTGCTACCCGTCTCGGCCGCCTTGGCCAGGGCGGTCAGCCCCGAGCGCCCGCAGGGCCTGGCCGAGGACCTTCCGGCCTGGTGCAGCAAGATCTCCACCCTCCTGAAGAGCATGGCCCTCCTCTTGGCCACCCTGGGGGGCAAGGCCACCCGCCTGGCCGACNCGCCGCGCCGGGGCCCAGGCCGCGCCACCTTGCAAGGAAGGCCCGACGGCCAACATCGCCCGGTCCCAGTCCTTCAGCTGCACCCGGGAGGAGGCGGAGAAGGAGATCGTGCAGTCGGGGGTGTCGGTGAAGAACCTCAAGGCGAACTACGAGCTCCAGCTGCAGGCCCGGCTGCCGGACGCCGCGCCGGAGCGGGTGTACAAGACGCCGGGGCCCAGGCCGCGCCACCTTGCAAGGAAGGCCCGACGGCCAACATCGCCCGGTCCCAGTCCTTCAGCTGCACCCGGGAGGAGGCGGAGAAGGAGATCGTGCAGTCGGGGGTGTCGGTGAAGAACCTCAAGGCGAACTACGAGCTCCAGCTGCAGGCCCGGCTGCCGGACGCCGCGCCGGAGCGGGTGTACAAGAGGAAACGGTCTCTGCCGCTGATCACCGCACAGCTGCCCCTTGGAAGACAGCCCATCTTGGAGGAAGACTACCTCGGCGGCATTGAGCCCTACGGGGTGCCTGGGGAGGGCCCCTTCTATGGGGAAGCCGAAGCCCTTCTCCCAAGGCAGGGGGCCCTTCCCTGCGCAGGAGGAGGGGAGCCTTCGGAAGAGGCTTTGTTCAGCGCCGACCACCTCACCCGGAGCCTCCCGGTGCAGACGGAGCTGAGCTGCGTCCAGGACTACATCGACATGCGGAAGGAGCGGATCGTCTACCTCTTCCTGGAGCACTGGAAGAAGTGGACCTTCACGGAATCGGAGCGGCACAGGGCTCCACCGAGGACAGCTGCTGCCCCCTGTGCCAACGCGCAGGAGGAGGAGGCGGAGGAGGATAGCAAAGCATACAGCGGCTTCCCCGGCCCTTCTGCGGGGAACAAGCCCAGCGAGGATGACCGGCTGTTGTACTTCATGAAGCAGCGGCAGGTGGTGGGGAAACTGATTGCCCACTGGCGGAGCATCATCAGCCAGGTGCCCAGCCGGCAGATCCGGCGCCTGAGCCGCACCAACATGCTCTCCTGGCCGGAGCACTTCCTGCCCCACGTCGGCGGCTCCCCGGTGCCCTACGACAGCCTCACCCTGGACCTCTTCATGCTGGGTTACTTCCAGCTCTTGGAGATGAACCTCAGCCGGGCCGAGCGCCGGTTCCGGCACTTGCTCTGCTACGAGATGTTCGACCGGCTGGGCAGCCACAGCTGGGAGCTGATCCGGCAGTTCCACAAGGCCGTGATGGAGGAGGTGGAGGCCGGCCGGCGAGACTGGGCGGATGGCTTTGAGGACCTCAAGCAGCAGTTCTTTGGGGACAGCCCGGGACCGCCTGACGGGGATGGAGGAGGAGACGGCGATCTGCCCACGGAGGCCCCCGGCTCTCTGCCCTGCCTCTCCCACCAGGAGTCTTCACAAACATTGATGGGGAGCGATATCCAGGAACCCGACGTGCCCGGGGAAGATTTGGCTCCGATCCCGGAGCCCCAGAGCCAGGAGGGCTCCATCCCGCTGGTTTCGGAGCTGGGAGACTTTTGCAACGAAGACATTTGTCGCTACATCGACCGGAGCTTCTCCTTCTGGAAAGAGAAGGAGGCCGAGCTGTTTGACATCTGAGAGCGTCGCCTCCTGCGTGTGTGCAGAGAGCGTGGCTGCCTTCATCCGACGCCTGGCTCCCCCCCAAATCTGCACCCCAGTCTGGGCATCATCTGGTTGGGACCCCCTGCCACCTTCCTGGGAGGTGCTCTGGGGCCGATCTCTCTGGAGGAAACCCCACCCAAGTGGGTGGTGGGATCGGAGAGGAGAGGACACAGTTTCCGGGCTTCCCTCGAGGTTGTCTTCCGGTCCTAAGACGTGCAACGACCTGCAGGCTTCCCCGGCAAAGTGGACGGTGGAGAGAAGACAATGGTGTCCACTTGGGACAACATGCAACCCCCCGGAATCTGGCTTTTGTGGCTTTGGAAAAAAAGACCCTGGGCAGGGACACAGAGGGTGGCTAAGCCTGCAGACCCTCGCTGGCCATGACAGCTCAGCCAAAAGCCAGGCTCTTGAGCATCTGTGAATACCTAGGACTTCATAGGAGTGGGTGACCGCAGAAAGCCGCCATCGCCCCACGCGCGTCGGCTTCTCTGCAACCCCTCCTCAGCCGCTGTGGGAACAAGGCGCCAGCCTAGAGAGGCTTTGGGCTGGATCCTGTCCCTGCAGACCTATGACACCCCTTTGACCCCATGTGAAGCCTTCCTGGTATTTTGGAGGACATTGGAGTGGGAAAGGATTATATGGGCGTTGAAATCCGAGAGCTCTGTTGGGGAAGGCCGCCCTAATGGTTCAGCTTCACAGTCTTATTCGCCATCCATGACACCTTTGGGCTTCAACTCCTTGAACCCGTGGCCGTTGGGTATTTGGGCTGGGGCTGCTAGCGGCTGGAGCCAGAAGTGGGGAGCCCC